TTTTTTTTTTTTTTTTTTTTTTTTGGTTTTTTTTGTATAACAACCTAACAAAAAAAAAAAAAAAAAAAAAATTTTTATCAATAAAAAAGCTTTGTTAAAAACTTTATTTTAATTGTTTTTTTTTTAAATTTTTTTTTTTCTTTCTTTTTTTTAGATAAACGAAATGGATATTCACAAAAACAAAATTTAGCACAATTTGCATCATTAATAAACTTACCAAAAGAAAATAATAATAATAATTATCAACAGCAACAAAGCAAAGAAAGAAAAACATCACAATTTTCTAGAAAGAAATCCTCATCAAAAAGAACAAGAAATAATAGGAGTGGTACAAGTGGTAATATTGAACCTGTAAATGCTTCAATAAATTCGTCATCATCGTCAATGAAAGGTGGACCATCGTCAACAAAATCGCTATCATCGCAAAAATCACCATCACTTTCAACGTTGAATGGAAAGAAGAAATTGGTTGATGTTGTGTCCGATGAAAAAGAGAACGCATCCATAACTAGCTCATCAAGTTCATTTATAGCTAAAAGACGTAAACGTAATGACAAAAAAGGAAAAGGTGCACAAGAAGCTCAAGGAAGAAAAGAAAAAATGACATTTTTATTAGAATTAAGAAGAAAAATGTGGTTTGGTGGAAGTAATAGTAGCGGAGGTAATAGCGAGGATAGTATCTTAAGTGTTGAAACTGTTAATGGTAAGAATAATGGAGGGAAAAAAACTTTTGAATGACACTTGAAATGTTTGAATTGTAATTTTGTGTAAACCAATTGACATTAAAATATTTCCTGCCTATATTTTTTTTTATTCTTTGTATATTAGCTGACATTTTGCTTTTTAAGTAAAAAAATTTTTTTTTGATTCTAACTGTAACATATAACTAGTTCACATATTTTCATTCGATCTAGATTTGTCATTTTTCATTACATTTAATTATATTAATATTATAGTAGCAATTTTTATTTTGAATAAAATCAAATATATATATATATATATCTCTCTCTATATATATATATATATAATACTTTGTTTAGTTATTCGTAGATTTCTTTAATTCATCATGATCTTTAGCGTTGTATATGTTTGCATCCATATTTAAATACTCTGCAGTGAATATTTTAAATATATTATTCCAATTATATACCACAACAGGATCGATGGCATCAGCATCATCCTACATTATTGTGAATAATTATTGATTATTATGATGATTATTATGATAAAAAGTTAATCAAAAAAAAACTTATTACTCACAGATAATTCATGCCAAACCATAGGAAATGGCGAAGGAATAATATGTAATACGGGAACACCTCTCATTAAAAAAGGTATATGATCATCTGCAATATGAGCTTGATATGTATTCATGGAATATTGATTGAAATAACTTTCATGATCTTCTAAAGTATCATCTATAATATCATCCTCTTTAATTTCAACCTTTCCATCTTTCGAACTGCTAGTTACACTACCTGGTAACTTTATTAAATTATTTGTGGTTAACCTAGATTCTATTTGAATTAATTGACCAAACATCCAAGAAGTCGTGGTAAAATAATTTTTTATGGTTGGTCTTGAAGCACCTAATAAATCTAATAATATAAATACATCTATTCCACTTAACATATTTTTTCCTTTATTTTGTGGCGATTCTACATCTATAATATATGTATCTTCCCATTTAGCCGCCAAATGCCTTGTATAATTAAAGAAGAAAAGGAATTCAATAAATAACTTTGATATGTTGCAACAAAAGTTAACAAAAGACACAACAAACCTTGATCCATAAAGTGAATCATTATGGGTCCAATATTTAAAGGCCTCCTCCCCATCAAAGAAAATAATCTGTAATGTGGTCTCATCTTGTTTTCTATTATCAAGGTACTTATCCAAACTATATGCTAAATCCATTAATATTGCACAGGGTACAGCACTGTCAGTAGCTCCTACAAATCCTCCATCGGCAAAGTATTTACTATCAAAATGAGCACTAAACACTAATCTTTTGGTAGCTTTAATATCTTTGGTTACGATGATATTAGAAAATTTTATTTGTCCATAAGGTGTATTATCCGTAAATTCATCCGTCTCGACGTGCCATTTGAGTTCAGTGAATTTATTGACGATGAACGAATTCACTTTTGTATTATTTTCGGTACCGGACACGCGAGGGATTAACAAGGAAGGAAGAAAATCGGTGAATATTGAAGAGGAGCTGGTGTTTGCGAGAAGTTGAAATGATTTTTCTGATAATGTCTTGTATGCATTACTACTACCATTATTCGATTTAAAATGTATTATAAATATGATTGATAAAATAATTAATACCCTCATTATCATCATCATATTAAAAAAAAAAAAAAAAAAATTCCGGGGGGCGGGGGGAATTTGATGTTAAAAAAACATTTCGAGAAATGACCTGACGAAATTTATCACGTGAATAGATCCTTAAGGTTTCAACAGAAAACGGATAGTTTTAGGTCGATCACCAAATAAACGTAGTACTTCGCGTCTTTATTTCTGCTTATTTTAATCAATAATAAAAAACTATAATGATGTCTACTTCTCTCAGTGACTCACCTTCTTCCCCGAATAATGAGGAGTCTACTGGTACATATCTTTTTTTTTTTTCTTATATACATGTTATTTATTTTGTATTGAATTTTCTTATATTTTCAAAAAAAGAGGAAACGAAACAAGAACGTGCAGCCATAGAAGAAAAGATAGTTAACGAAGAATATAAAATATGGAAGAAAAATTCGCCGTTTCTATATGATCTGGTCATCACTCACGCGCTGGAGTGGCCTACGTTAACGTGTCAGTGGTTTCAAGATATAGAAAAGTAATTTTATTTCAAAATATTACCATTCGTTTCAATTTTTTTTCGTTCACGGTGAAAAGAAAGAAATAACTTTTCATAATTAATTCATACTTTAGGCCCGAGGGAAAGGATTATACTATCCAGCGCTTATTGATTGGTACTCATACATCGGACAATGATCAAAATTATGTTGAAATCGCCAATGTCCAACTCCCTAAAAGTGATTCCGATATCGATCCTCGAAAATATGAAGAAGAAAAAGCAGGTTTTAATTTTTTTTTTTTTAGAAAGAGATCCAATTTATTATGTAATTCAATCAAAAGTAATATAATATCTAATCAGAAGCAGGTGTACATGGTGGCTCATCCGAAAGTCGAATCACCGTTGTTCAAAGAATAAATCACGACGGTGAAGTTAATAGAGCGCGATATATGCCTCAGGATCAAAATATAATTGCAACAAAAACGGTAACAGGAGATGTCTATATATTTGATCTTACAAAACATCCAACCAAACCTCCCGCGGAAGGGGTTTGTAGTCCCGAGTTGAAATTGCGAGGGCATACAAAAGAAGGGTAAATATTATCTTTATTCTTGATCATTTACATTTCCGATTGACTCTTGGTTCTGAATTTCGTCATTACAATTTAGATATGGATTAGCTTGGAATCCGTTTCAATCTGGTCACATTATAGATGCTTCAGAAGATACCACTATTTGTCATTGGTATTGTCATATAATTGGTTACTTTGTGAATTTAGATCTTGTTACAAAAGGTTTTAAATAGTTTTTATCTTAAAATGAATTTATAGGGACATCAATGGATATACAAAAGAAACAATGGAGCCATATAGAGTTTATCAAGGGCATGAAGCTATTGTCGAAGACGTTGCGTGGCATACGGTAAATATCTTCGGCTCAGTAGGGGACGATCAAAAACTTCTCATGTAAGGGATAAGAAAACCTTTTTCATAGAAGGCATTCCCTGTGATCTTCTAATCTAGCATAGTTAAATTTTGTAGTTGGGATTCACGTGAAAATTACGACAAACCAGTACATACAGTCGTTGCTCACCAAAGTGAAGTTAATAGTTTAGCATTCAATCCATGTAACGAATACATTTTGGTGACTGGTGCCGGGGACAAGGTATATTATTATGATGCTTTACTACGTACACCTTATAAATTGTTTATAATTTCCTCTCTTTTTCAGACCTTAAGCTTGTGGGATTTACGTAACCTTAAAACCAAGTTACATACACTTGAACAACATTCCGGTGAAATTGTTCAAGTCGAATGGTCACCTCATGATGAAACAATCCTCGCATCTGCTGCAGGTGATCGTAGGGTTAATATATGGGATTTAAGTAGGATTGGTTCGGAACAAACTGCTGAGGATGCTGAAGATGGACCACCGGAGTTATTGGTATATACAGATCTGTTACTTTTGATTTGTTATACATCTCTATATAAATACATATTTAATTGATTTTTCTTTCTCTTTTTTTTTTTTTTTAAAAAAAAAAAAAGTTTATGCATGGCGGGCACACTAATAAGATTTCAGATTTTAGTTGGAATCCTCACCTTCCATGGGTCGTTGCTAGCACCGCAGAAGATAATATTATACAAGTGTGGCAACCAGCTGCAAATATCTACACTATCGATGAAAGGGAAATCCCAGCCGACGAATTAGAAGATTAAAAACATTGATTGAATATACAAATTTCTTTAATTGATTGTTGTCGTTAGAATAAAGATATAATATAATGTCTTAATTTTTTTTAAGCTTATTATTTTGAGGTAGATTATATAAAGAGGTCATAATTGTATAAAATAGGATATTCTTTTTCTTGTTTTTCCTTGCTGGAATATATTTCGATCAATTATTATGTATTGTGTTTTATTTATTTTTACAATATTTTGAAAGCGCGTGACTATTACAAAATGAATTTCTTTAGAACCCCGTGTTGAGTATATAAAGGATTTCGGTACATTGAGAATTGTATACAAGACCCGATTTATATAGCAAATTTAAAATCTTTTATGCCATTTTGGATGTGAAGTAACTTTTTCCCCCCTCTTTTAATTAATTAATCTGGAAAATGAGAAAATGGCATATACCATGCTGAAGCTGGTAAATGAATAGTGATCTATTCTGACATTTATCAAAAACCTTTATCCTTCTACAAGAACAACTTAATTAATGTTAAGCTTACTGATTCGTTAGCCTTCCCTCCAGGAATAATTAGAATATGTTTGCTCAAATGTGTATGATTTACGTTACTTTTTTAGTTGCGGTCACAACCATACCGTAGGGTACTTTGGAGAAATTACCGAAACTCACTTAGAAAAGTATGGACATTCAAATTCAAGGATAAAAAACGCGGAATAATATTAATTTATATTATCTGGATTAAATTGACCCGTGCACAAACTAATGACAATGCCTTAGATTATCTTCTCGTGATACATGGATGATTTGTATTTTTAACGAGATTTTAAATTAGTTCTTTTTTTTTTAAAAAAAAAATGAATTCCATCAACTTGATACGAACTTTCAGAACACCAGGCTCTGGTATGTAATAAGCAAGTTGTATACACGTATTTTAAAAAACGTTTGAAATTTCATGATTCAATAAATAGGCTACTTGCGCAGAACTACTTTGACAAGGACTAGTGGCGTTTTACCTATTTTGATGAGGTACATTTGAATCGGGTGTTTCTCTTTGATATTATCAACTTTATTTCATCTTGCGTCTTCATTTTTTAATAATTATCCATTTCATTCTCTTGAAAATAAATTATAATTGCATTTTTTTTTTTGAGCTCATTGATACCTTGATGAATTCTAATTAACTTGTATGCTATTTCATAACAGAAATGCGCGACAAAGCACTACATCGTCAACATCTC